GAGCAGCTTTCTCCTTGGCCTTCGCTTTGGCCTTGGCCTTCGGATTTGCATCCTGTGGAGCGGGTGTCGATGGTGCAGGTGTTGTGGTCTTCCCTCCACCAGCGAAATCTCTTGCATACTTCTCTCTAGCAGCAACATGTTTGTCTTCTCTAATTCTGGCGATCTGTCGCTCCATGACATCGAGAAGATGCTGATAGGATCTCCTTGGGTCTCCTTCAATCCATGATTCATACCGGGTTCTTCAAAAAAAACAGCCATCCACAGGAAACCACAGAGATACCCTGCTTACCCCCGCAACCCCCAACTTCAATGTTGTGATCGGAAGTGCCGAGCATCATCAACAGAAATGGCTGTTTTTTTTGAAGGCCGCCAAACACAAACTTCAGAAGACAACATTGAATTGGGGGACGGGGGGGGCATGACCTCTGTGGTGTGGTACTTCATGGGATGGCTGTTTTTTTTGAAGAACCCGGACTCAGAAAAGACACAATAGGATGGACCCATGGCTGCAGACAAACGCGAGAATGATGACGACACTGTGTCAGGGAAAGCATCGGGATCAGTTTGGGCGGGTGTTTGTGTGTGGGTGTGTCTGTTTGCTTGCGCGGGCGCATATGTGCTAATATGGGTTGTGCTAAGTGAAATACATGCAGCGACAGTCTTGACACCTTTTTGACCTGATTCCGCAATGTCGTGGGGTGCACTGGCTGTCGTTCTGCGTGGCAGGCGCGCCACTTTGAGAGCGTGACTGCTCTATCCTGCACACCTGCCATGCAACGCACATGCAACACACATGCAACACACATGCAACACGACATGCAACATGAGCTTTTTACCTGTAAATTTACAGTCAACGTGCAGGATTTGACGTTTGCAGCCCCAACTCCGGTCTTAGAATGGAAAGTGTAGATTTTTGCCCCCGCGGCCACGTTGCTTGGAAATTTACAGGGAAAATGCTCGTGTTGCATGTGTGTTGCATGTGTGTTGCATGTGTGTTGCATGTGTGTTGCATGTGTGTTGCATGTGCGTTGCATTGGCAGGCCCATACAAATCACACCCGTGAAGTGGGGAAGTAGAAAACAGCGTGGCAGGCGCAAGAGTTGTAGGTGGCAGGGCGAGACTTTGGAAGCTGAGCGCCTTGGATATTACATTGTGGTGGTGGCCCGTAGCATCCACCTTTGTGGGGTTGTCGCATATTATATAGAATAAGCTTTGGCAACCATCTTGGGCAACTTTCACAAGCTGATGGTTAGCCCTTAGCATCCACCTTTATTGGGCTGTCACAGATTACAGAAGCGCATGCTTTGACAATGCGTAAATTTCAGAAGCTGATGTTGTCGCATCGATGTGTGTGTGTATGTGTGCTGATCTACATCCACATGCATATCAACAACAGTTAAACTGAACTCGGAACAAAAAAAAGCCTCACCGTATTGCTTGATATCAAACATCAATAGATGGGAATTTCTGATCTTCTTATATAGAACGTCTCGTAACCAATCATCAGGAGGGATGTCATCCGGCATCATGTTTGTGACCATTTCCATCCACTTTTCGTAGAACACTTCAATGTTCGCATCTCCAAGGTATTGCGATTTAATGATGTGCTCCATCGTGAATGCGGTCTCTCGTTTCCCTGGTGTTCTGAAATGGTTCAAGATCATGGCAAGTATTTCCCGTCCCATGACATACGTTCCTCTCCGACCATGTGCCTGAGTTCTCAACCTCAGCTTCATAGCTACATGTCGAGCAACATCACCAGCCTGCGTGATGACATTGGACAGAGCAATGGAAAGCTTTGCGTCGATAGATTGGAATCTCTGGCCATCACTGTCGTTCAGGGCGTCAAGGTCAGGGTATTGTTGTGTTGCCGGTTGTAACCATGCCTCCCAAGAAGCTCTATCACCGTCGTTGGCGGCTAGACAGACGCTCTTGATAAGGTCAGATGTCCACACTCCCAAATTTTGATGCTTCATGGGCTGATGTAAACCTTGTCGGCTTCCCTTCGAGAAACTCTTGGAGGTTCAACAGCAGTGAATGCCGTCGTAGATACATCATCAGCTGCAGAGTCTCTCTGGGATCCGCGAACTGAAGGAAGTCCTGGTGGTCCTGGTGGTCCAGGAGGCTCTGGTGGTCCACTTGGATCAGGAGGTCTGTCTCCATTCGGAACATCAAATCCCTGTGCTCTCATGTCAGCAGCAATCTTCCGATCAACATCACGCAGAAGTTCGGCCACTCGCTGACCGGGTTGCGATGGCTGTTGTTTGACTGGCTCATCATACCCTGGGCATCGACTATTGATTCTAATCAATATTTTCGAAATAAATCAATATTTTTTGTTTTCTAAAAATATTGATTTCTGTAATGATTTCGCTATTGATTTGGGTATTGATTCTGAAACCGCCAAATTTGATCAGATTTGATCAAATTTGATCAAATTTCGCCTGATTTTGATCAAATTTGATCAAATTTGATCAAGTTTGATCAAATTGCACTTTCTTTCGTTTGTGCCATGCTTATTGATTTTCCACAAATTTCCTTGCTGGTTTTCTATTGAAAAAGCCAGGCTCGAAATCAATAAAAATCATTGATTTTTGTTTGAGAATATTGATTAGAATCAATAGGTGATGCCAGGGTAGACATAGCCGGCATTGGCAGCATTCATCTCTTCATTCAGCGCCTCATCCAATTGTCGGTTCCATGCCCTAAGCACAGTCATCTCGGTGTTTGCTGCATTCACCTCGTTCTCCAATGCCTCAACTTTAGATCTCGATGATAGGTCGATCGGAGGGATACCTGCGGAGTAAGGGAGTTGACTAGGATCCCCTTGAGTCTTGATGATTATCTCTGCATCTCTTAGGCTTCTTCTCAAATCATCAACGCTTCGTTTCATGTTCTGAATTTCGGGGCCCTTTAACTTCAACTTTTCATCCCTATCCCGAAGTTCCCCCATATATATATACTCACAAGACCTTTCATAATGTTGGGCGCCACTAGCTAACTTCAACTTCCACTCACTTTCCAATTCAGATCTAAGTGTTGCAACTTCAGAACCAAAGTGAGCCGTTGGCCCCAACTTCGGAGCTTCAGCCACTTCATCTTTCAGCCTGATATTGGCAGACATGCATTCTCCAAGCTCTTCCACAAGGTCCTGGGTCCTAATCTGTGCGATCTTGATCTGACTCTCGAGGTGTTCAATCGCGATTCGATTAGGACCTTGGCCGTTGGCCGCAGGATCCTCTCTCAATGATCGTCTCAACTTCGTTTCCCGGTCCTTGACCTCAGCTCGGAGTTCATCGTTCAGAGCGTGTTCATTCTCGTAGAGCTTCTCATAGTGCTTCACCTTGCTATTGGCACTCACGCTCAGATTGGATGCAAGCCTTAGTCGAGCGATAGCCTCAGATTCGACATTCCGGTAAGCCTCAAAGCGCTTCATTGTATCATGCTCAGTGTTTCGGTGACGCAGATCACTTTCAATCTTGGCCTGGTTTGCCTCATGTACCTTCTTTCTATAATCTCTAGTGATCTGTTCCATACTGTTCTCATACAACTCAGCTTGCTTACGGGAATGTACTAGTGCTTCACTCATCAAATTGTTTTCATCCATCAACTCTTTAACCTCAAAAGTTCGTCGTTGGTTGGCCATCTCCAGATGAGTTTGAGAGTACGATACCAGTTCGGATTGATTACGATACTCCACTATGGAATTCTCAAGACCAGTTTGCATCTCTCTTCCTTCTCGGAACAACTTCTCAGCAACACTCGTAGCAAGATCACTGTTATGTTGCATCTGCTGTAATCTTGATTCAGTGTTACCCAATAGTCCTCGAAGGTGAGATACTTCGTCCTTGTACTCTTCCTGGATCTCCATTCCTCGTTGATGAATTCTCCTGGCTCCGTCCTCCATGAGGGCACCTCGGCGTTCGAGTTCTTCAATGCGAAATGTTGCACCCTCATCTTCTCGAGAAGCTATCATAAGTTCAGCTTGATATTCTGCAACTTCATTGGTTGAGTACATCAGTCGTTGATTGAGGGTATTGAATTCATCATACACATTCTGATTTTGATTCCGGAGGTAGTCTGTGAACTTGACTTCAATATCCTTGATGAGTTGATCCCGTGACGCAGCATATAGTTCCAACTGGGTCATCTTCTCTTGGAGAGATTGATATTGTGTCATTAGCTCATCAATTACTGAAATGGGTTCTCTACTTCCTCTACTTCCACTTGTTTCTGTTGTTCGTCTCTTGATTCGACCGTCATCCCTTATCCTGCCAGGTTGGTCCTCGATTGCTCTCGGAGTTCCTGGTCGGGTAGGTGTTCTTCTCGGCGATCGATGACTCATCACGTGCTGATCTTGGAGTATTAGCTGTAGCTCTCCTCCGCTGTCCAGGCATATTCCATCCTGACATAGTCGTTCTCGACATTGTTGATTTCGACCCACTCTCTGCAGTACCAGGTGAAGTCTGCGAGGCTTCTTCGGCTGGCGGTACAGAATTGTCGTTGAAGGTAAACTGAGTGTCACCACTGCTGCCTTGCATCTTTACGATGTAGAGCTGGTCGGTTCTTTGCGTCCACGATCGTTTGCCCCAGGCGTCGGCTAACAGCACGAAAGCACCCTTCCCTCGTTGAGGGTAAGAGCCCTACGGCTGATAACCTGTGAACAAATAGAATCCCTTGTTCCGAGGTTAATGCACTTGCGGTGTAGGATGCTCAATGTTCAAGCTGTCAGCGCGACGCAAGCGACATGCAGTGAGGCGGCAAGCTGTTTTCCTGTGACAGTAGGTCTTGAGCCAATATGTATTGGCATTAAGTCGCAATGCAGCACACATGAATTAACATGCATATAACATGATGCTACATGCTACCGTGCAGTTCCCTTTAACATAATATATATATAATTATATATATATATATATCTCTCTCTCTCTCTGTGCATGTGTGGTATCAATCTGAACAAGGGGAAGCACAAAGTCAGGTTTAGATGGTTTAGATGAACCTTAACCATCCTTAACCGCAAACCCCTGGCATCCCCCTGATTCAGTCCTTGCGACCCAAATGATAAGAGCCCGGAAAATGATTTGTCCGCTGCACCGGACTGGCAAGGCACAGTGCAAACAAGTCGGCTTGAATTACCATGCTCTCTCGCTTGGCAAAATTCTTAGCCAAAAGCCTGAAACGACGAAGCTGGTCTGGCGATGGATGCAAGGACCTAAGGTGACGCTGTAGGAAATGTTGCGTTCCTTCCCTTTTCCTTCCGGAATCAGCTGTGTTGGGCAGTGAAACACTTTGACTTGCTGAGGATTCAGCCACAAAACTGTCCATCTGTTAGTCTCGGCTCTGACCTGGACAGGTTCAAACATGTTCAAACGTAGTGGCAGAACCGTGGTTTGCTGGTGGAAACCATGCACATCCATGCACATCATGCACCTGATACAAAGTGGAACTAGGCGGAACGTCACTCCCAGAGATGAGGACTCGACGCGATACAAGCCTCCTTGCCTGAGGATGTTGATGACTGCGTTGTACTGGTGGACGGCCTTAGTGGTAGCTGATTTTGAACGCGCAAATTTGGATAGCAAGTAGGGTGCCGGGCATCAGTATGGCTGTAGAACATTCGCGGTCCCTCTTCATCCGCTGGGACTGCACGATCCAATTGTCTCCTCGTTAGCTGCAGGTTGTCAGATTGGTTCTGGTTGAAAATCTGTCGAGGGCAATTGGCTCTGAGCTTCACACTGATCGGCACAGCAAGCCTGCGTGTAGGTGAAGAGAACGACCGGCCTGGGGCCGGAGACAGCAACGTTTCGAATCGTTTCGATACGTTTCGGCGGTGGCCAGGCCATCCACTTCCTGAGAGTGGTACGGTCGACCTTCAAAAACTGACCGCAGCAGCAAAATCTGCGGCGGATCCGGCGATGTCAGCGACCCACTGCCCATGGTGGCTATGGTAATGGCTTCGTGGGAGCCAAGACTACAACGATCCCTGCTCTAAGACGCATAGCAAAATTACGCCGAGAAACAAGCGTTACTGTCTATGTTACTTACTGTTACTTGCAGGAATGGTAACACAGCATCTATATACAGTAATTCAATGTATGTGTGTATATTGGATGTTGTAACATCCTTGTTGAATGTGTGAGCTTCAAAGACATGGGACATGGGAATTTCAACACGCTTCATTCTAGGACCAGATGTGCGCCAAAGAACAACAAAGGTCAGTCAGTTCCACCAACCCCACTGGCTGTCATGCGACGGAGAAAAGGTGAGAAGGTGCGAAATTAGACGGAATTGAGGAGGAACTCTTGAAAACCCAGACTCCATTTACTTGGCAATGTCTTGTGATGATATGTGATGACTCCAAATCATGTGGAAATCTCAAAACATTCTTGAAACAAAACTTGGCACGACAGAACAAACTGTTCTCTGCATTTATCTGCACTCTTGCCTTGCGAGGTTTTGGACCAGTCGGCCTCAGCTGGAATAGCCCATTCATTTGGACCTTCCCTGGGCCCCTTCCTCTTGACAATATAAGTGTGAAGTCACGTGACCCGAGCTAGCTCGGTGCTAGCTTCACATTCTACGCCCCAAGCGCTGTCTCTCCCTCCTCACAAGGCTTTCCTGGGTGCAAAATGTTTTATTCACTTGACCATTCAATCAGTCTGTTTTCAAGGGAAAATTTGGAAGATGCTGCTGGGCTGTAGCTTAAGAACTTTGCGCATTGGCGGTTTCCTGGAGCGCACCGGCCTGCACCAAGGAAGTCTGAGACCAGAAAGTATAGGCGAAACACCAAAAAGATTTGAAGGAGGACTACGGAACATCGCAAAGGGTCAGCAGACGAAAACGGAGGTACCAAATTCCCACAAGTAGAGATGATATTGCAGCATTTAAAAACTGAAAAGCATCAGCAAAACATCAAAACAGTTTGTTGGTGTGGCCAAATTGTTTGGAGAGGAAATGGTTTTCAGTAACAATCACCTGACACAAGTCTTCAATAAGTCCTGGTGCAAGCAATGCAGGCAGGTGACCCCCTTGGTTGCGGTGGATCCAAGTTGTCGTCCTGGCTTGCAAAGAGTTTTCAACAAACTTCCGAACCTCAGCTGCTAATTCGCCAGGCCCGCAGAAGGTGCGCCATCCATGACATCCTCTACATCATCCATAGTGTCTACGGTGTCTCTCCTGCAGATCAGCCCGGCAGAAAATTTGCACAAACACACTTTATCACACTTTGTACATGGAAACATGTTTTTTTTGTGTTCATGAACTCATTCGATGCTGGTGCGTTCGCTAAGTTCCCTGCCGCGTGCTGGTAAGCAAAGGGCTTCTGGCGGGCGTGTGCTCAAGATTCGAGACACCGATGTGCTTGCTCAACCCTACTTACCTGATTTGCATATAAGATAGGCGTATATTTAATTATATTATACTATATTATACTTATATATTGTCATTTTTTTAAACATATGAAACATTTCCTGTTGAAATCGTGCGCGCGCAGGCGCGCGAGCATTTAACACATGCTCCGACATGGTGCCATAGGGCCAATTGAGGCAACCCTGTTTGGGGTGAGTGTCGACTGACTTGAATTCCGAATTTACACATTTTAATCTGGTAGTTCGTCTAAGTAAAGTGCAACAGTTGGCCTTACCGTTGTGCACCTTTTCACAAAGTCTCGCCGATCCGGCTGTCCCAGGGTTCCTCGCCAACGCAGTTCTTCAACTTTGCAGCCGTGCCGAACATCCAGAAACCTTCTTTTCTTCGCAGCAGCTTTTACAGTCACATTACAAGAGACAGAACGCAGGCAGGTACACGATCTTTAGGTGTGGTCTTCTTTCTTTTGATGGTTCTCTGGTGAGGTGAAACATATTGTGCACCTAATTCGCTGGAACTTGAAAGCCGTTTATGCCAATTGGGGCAAAACTTGACCACGGTCCCGGAAAGGGAATAACGCACGACCTTCAGGTAGTTAGGAACTGAGTCCTGTTGTTTAATTAATTGTTTTGTTTTTTGTTTGTCATCAACTAGTCCCCCATTTGGTCCCTAATTCTCCCCGCGTGCCTCTCCGTAATGTGTCGTGGGGTTTCGGTGTGTGCGCTGTTTTGGTCAGGTCCGTTTCGCCGTGTAGGTTGGTTTTGGAGGTCCGTTTGTTCCCCTCCCCCCCCTGCGCTGTTCTGGCCTTCTGCCCGTCGTCTGTGTTCGCCTTTTTCTTCCTTTTGCCTTTCAGGGTTGACCCGGCTCCGGCCGGGTGTGTGTGTGTGTGTAACATCTAAATAGATGTAAAACTTCTCTCTTTTTTTCTTCTTCTGTCCTCTCCCTTTCTAATCCTAATACTAATGCAGGGGGACACAGCATTTCACTGGGACTGTGTCCAACGAAGCTACCAGTGAAATGGGATATCCAGCTTGGCCAGCTGGACGTACCTGCATTCTTTGCGATGTCGATTCTGAACATGGTGATCACTCAGGAGAACTTCCATTATATATTCGTAGGAATCGTCGTAGATTAATTTGTTTCCCATCCAATCTGCACGTTACAGGATTCAGTTCCTGCCGGATCATATAATGATCCATTCTTATCTTGTGTGTGTGTGTCTGTGTGTGTGTGTGTGTGTGTGTGTGTGTGTGTGTCTGTGTGTGTGTGTGTGTGTTGTGTGTGTGTGTGTGTGTGTGTGTGTGTGTCTGTGTGTGTGTGTGTGTGTGTGTGTGTGTGTGTGTGTGTGTGTTGTGTGTGTGTGTATGTGTGTGTGTGTGTGTGTGTGTGTGTGTTGTGTGTGTACCGTCTGAATAGACGTTAAACTTCGTCCTTATATTATATGATATTATATTTTTATTTATGGCAGGGGGCAGAGGGATCTCCAGTTGTGGCCTCTGCCAACGAAGCTCCACACTGGAGATCAGGTAAACGTACCTGCCTTGTCCCGCCCTGGGCGCATTTAAGACGCAGCTGGGGGGGACATATAATATATTATATCGCTGTTGTTTTATACTGTCATTGTCTACTGTGATCTTACATATATATATATATATATATAATCTTCATCGTATATTAATTCGATTCCTGTCTAATCTGCATGTTACAGGATTCAGTTCCTGCCGGATCACTATAATGATCCATTCTTGTCTAGTGTGATTCCTATGGTGGCTCCGACATGGTGCCATAGGGCCAATTGAGGCAACCCCAGTTGGGGTCAATGTCGACTGAATTGACTTCCGAATTTACACTTTTGAATTAGTAATTCGTTTAAGTAATGTGCAACAGATGGCCTTACTGTTTTGTGCCTTTGACGAAGTCCCGCGGCTCCTGTGGTCCCAGGGATTCCTCGCCGACGCATTTCTTCATCTTTGAAGCTGTTCTGAACATTCAGAAACCTCCTTTTTTCGCAGCAACCTTTGCAGTTACATTACATGAGACAGAACGCAGGCAGGTACACGATCTTTAGGTGTGGTCTTCTTTCTTTTGATGGTTCTTTGGTGAGGTCAAACATATTGTGCACCTAATTCGCTGGAACTTGAAAGCCGTTTATGCCTATTGTGGCTGACCTGAACACGGGCCTGGAGTGGCACAACGCACGACTTCTAGGTTTTAGGAGCTGAATCCTGGTTTTGTTTTTGTTTTTCACTAACTAGTTCCCCATTGGTCCCCTATCTCATGCTCTCTTCCCTCCCCAGGTAGGTTGGCTCCGTCGCGTGCTGAAGTTTTTTGTAGGTTTTCGCTGTGGCAGGTTGGTTCAGGCGCTTCCGTCTTCCCCCCCTCCGCTGGTCTTGGTCCGTGTCCGTCGACCCTCCGCTTTTTTCTTTTCCCTTGCCTTTTCAGGGTTCGCCCGCTCCGGGCTAGGTGTGTTGGTGTGTGTTTGCTCCTTCCCTCTTCTTTTGCGTTCCCCTCTTCGCGTCCTGGTTAAGTAACGTTCATCTCATTTTCACTCTCATCTCATTTTTCATCCCCCGTTCATCCTCATTCTCATCTCATTTTTACGCGCACCACCCTGCCGGAGGCAGGGTGTGTGTGTGTGTGTGTGTGTACCGTCTGAATAGACGTTAAACTTCGTCCTTATATTATATGATATTATATTTTTATTTATGGCAGGGGGCAGAGGGATCTCCAGTTGTGGCCTCTGCCAACGAAGCTCCACACTGGAGATCAGGTAAACGTACCTGCCTTGTCCCGCCCTGGGCGCATTTAAGACGCAGCTGGGGGGACATATAATATATTATATCGCTGTTGTTTTATACTGTCATTGTCTACTGTGATCTTACATATATATACGTATATATATAAACTTCATCGTATATTAATTCGATTCCTGTCTAATCTGCGTGTTACAGGATTCAGTTCCTGCCGGATCACTATAATGATCCATTCTTGTCTAGTGTGTGTGTGTGTTGTACCACAACTATTTCCTGGGTGTTTAGCTAACTGCTAAGATTATGTGGCAGTTTGAACAAGCATGGCTTTGCGCACCCTGAACTTTGTTGCGATGTTGCAGCACACCTTCGGCCTGGACACTCAAATTCAGACGTTGAAACATGGTGAAACGTTTGAACAGCTCATTTACTGAGTCCTGGGGCACATCCTGGATGCAGTCATCTCCAATCCCTGGGTATCAGACGCTTTCGCAGTTTCATCCACAGCCCTGCTGCAAGCATAACCCGGCGTAGATGGAATGCACGTCGACGGCGACTCAGCATGCGAAGCCTTGGCAAGGGCCCCCCCCCAAGATACAGGATTTTAGCAGCTTTGGCAAGACCTTTGACATCAACGTCTGCAATCAAAGAATGAGATCTGCCGCATGCGACGTTGGCACAACAGTCATGACTTGTTATGGCAAGCTTGCTAGCTCCACAATGACAAAGAAGTGCCGCGCTTGCAGAATCACAAGCCATTCGTCTCAACCCTCTCCCATCTTGAGCCGCAAAGAAGCGTCGGTCCATGTTCAGCTGAAGTGTGCATCAATGGTGCTGTCAACCATCTGATGTGTGTACACAATTTTCTGTCAAACGTAATTTGTTGCATCCGTCTTCTACAATCTACAATCATCCATGGCATTGAGTGCGTGGGCCAGGTGGGCCAGCCAGTCAGTCTTTTTCCGAAGTCTACTTTGGAATCCAGCTGCAAGCGCTTGTGCATCTATTTTGGTGACACAATTTTGTCCGGCATTTTGCCTCTGAAGGACTGACTGATCTGACTGATAACTAAAGGCATTTACCCTGGACAAAGGCTATGGTCCGCCCTAAAACAAGCTGTGAGATTGAATGGCCGCCGCTGAGAATTGTGCAGCGAACTGAATTTAGAGAACCTGCAACTCAAAATATGATTGAAAAGTTTGAACGAACCTCCAGAGTCACACCACATTGATCTAAATCTGATTTTACTATACTTCATTCATTTCGCTGCCTCAAAGGAGTCCGTTTCGATGTCCAGCAGGAGGGAGGGCATCCAGGACTAAACGCCTGGGCGGGAACGCAATGACGCAAATGGGCCAGCAGACCGCGCATCAGACTAAGATGGACGGATTGAAGATGATTCAAAGATATTTACAGACCCCCTAATCTTTCAAAGAACAAACGAGGAGTGCATGTTTGTTTTACACCTAGCCGCCGTGTCATTATTCCAGGATCCTTCCAGTCCCAAACCAGCAATACCAGGCGATCCCAACCATACCGGACACTTGACTGAGCTGCGAACTGAGTAGGCCCATGGCCTGTGGAAACTGGCCTGTGCACAAAAGCAAAGTCATAGGTGCCACCAGCATCATGTCTTTTGGCGTCCACAGGCCGCCTCAAGCCGGTGGGCATTGCAGTGTGATCGGAGCGTCGGCCTGCAGGAACCCAGAATATCCATGGGTTAAAGTACCAATGTGTACGGCTTCCGACCGTTCTGAACGTGTGAGCATTGTCATGATATGTCATTTTTGTATTGTTGACATTGTATTTGACTCGCAGCATGCACCTGAAGCGGTAATGGAACGAGTCTTGCCAGAGATACGAGAGCACCTGGGCTCATGTTGAGTGCAAGGGTAAATTCTTCAGATCAGAAACAGAGGCCCTTGGCATCCCTTGGCAGCGGTTCCATGCTCTTCCATGCTGTTCCATGCTGTTCCACATTCGGCAACCATGTGCCGGACTCTGGGAGTCGCAAGGCATTCGAGTGTGGCCTCGAAAAGGTGGGCCCCCAGTTGCAAGTTCAATGGTCAGGTTTGTCACATTTCGTCGATCTTCTGAGGTAAGGTTTCTGCACAGGAAATGCTGGAGATGTTGGCTTCCTTGCATCCTGGCGGCTGCCTGCCTGTCAGGTATCTGCAGTACTTTTGGGCTCAGGTGCATAATCACTATGCGAAACACGAGTCTTCATGAGCCTTCCAATTTGCGTCACAGTCTCCGCTGTCCCAAACAGGCTCACAAGACACGCCACTATTTCATAGATCCGCAAGAGTAACTCATAGATCCGCAAGAGTAACAGTAAGAGTGTGTAAGAGTGTGTAAGAGCCCAAACAGTAAAGCATGTCCTCTCGCACAAAATCCGACCAGCGTCAAACGCTCACATCAAAATAAGAGACTCTTGGCATCTTTGGTATGAGGCAATTCCCTGCGTAATGGGTACTTCAAGCACTCCTTCTGCAATACACTACTCCATCTACTCCCTAGTTCCATCCCATGCAACTTTGGCCATTGGCAGGCCGTTTCTCCATTGACATTGGTGCAATACCATGCAATACCAACATCTCTCACCATGACACTCTAACATGTCTTCCATGGTCTTCCAGCGTATTTCTGAGCTGTCATCCTACCTCGATCCTGCCAACCCGGCGCTGCGCAGCACCTGCAATACATTGCAGAACAAGCCAATGATCCTTTGACAATATAAGTGAGAAGTAGAAAAAAACAACTTCTGCATGACTTCTGCATGGGTGTCCTCCAAATAGCGATGTGAGCATGCTTGTCCTGCAATTCCACTGGCATGAAAGGTTCGTGGTTCAATCATGTTCAATCTGTGTATTTTGGAAGGTCCAAAGTAGACTCATCGAAATGATAGTCTGGCAGTTTGGAGTCCTTCGCATTTGAACCGGGTCTTTCATAGGACCAATTGCAGGCGCTGAGGAAGAAGCACTTGTTTCACCAGCTGAATTCAAACGAACCTTGCAAGCAGTTTAAGCAGCGACGGGATCTTCTGCAAAGGTGGTTGCAGTATTCGGTGGGGATGTGTCCAAAGAATGAACATGATCTCTCAATTGCAGCCCAGGAGCAACAACAGCTGTTATGTCATCTGACATCTGACCCTCCGTTGCAATCTGCCATCTGTGGCGTGCAATTCCTGGCAGCTCAACTCCACCAGAGCCGTGTGAATCATCCCATCCCGTTCTACTGGTTGTATCTGGTTCTCATAGGTATATAGTATACAGTATACGGTATCCCTAATATTGGTCAGAATAACCCCCCAATAGACCAGTAAGACCCCGATGTCAGACCCATCAAAAATGGTCTTTTGAACGGCGAATGCCAAACCATCGCAGTGGCGAATCAAGCGCCACTCAATGCCAGCAAGGCCAGTGATTTCACGCGCGGCTGCTTTGGGATCATCAAATTTTCCGGCGATGTCCACTGCCTGGAAGTCAGCACTGGTTGGTCAAGAACGGGATGCCCAGGTCATGATGACAATCTCCAATAATATATATATATATATAATTATATATTATATTCAGATTATATCTAATATTGGGCAGTACAACCACCTACAATATCCTCCAATCATCAACCAATAGGGGTTTTGAACACCGCTCCTTTGCTGGTACTATATCTAGATAGGCATGCGTAGTGCTGGGCGCAAACAAACAGAGTGAAACCTATGCAACCGAAAGGAGCGCGAGAACGATGATCACTCGCATAGGCATAATTGCACCCCCAGCACCTCTTGTGAGCTGACGTGATCCCAAACTCCATCAGATGCCAAAACAAGTACCTGAAAGGCAAGGACAGCAGGATAGCAAGGCAGGGGCGTAGTCCAGAAGCTTGATGAATCATGATGAAGCTTGGCACAAATGGAGTTGCATCCGTCCTTGTCTCGGCTATCCAACTTTCGCTCAACCACCTCTGGCTGTGAAATCACCTCAACAAGTCTCGCTGCAAAGCGTTCGAAATTTCCGAAACCTGTTTCGTATATGAACTTCGTGTCTTTGTCGCATTCTTACAGCACAACTTGTCTGTTTGTGTGGCTCTTCCACGGATGATTTTGATCAGGCTTGAGGGTAGCAGGATCACTTTGGAACACAGTCTGAAGCGTCACTTTGGAACACAGCCATTTTCGACTCACTTTGGAACACAAAATGATTCATATCATCAAAACAATGCCAACCACACAGACATGAGATTTACTGACAAACGCAATGCTTTGGAAGCCTGGCGCGTGCCAAAGTGAGGGCAGGACCAAAAAAAGACCTCCTATGAAAATTATAGTCGTTAGAAAGCCAAGCCTCTTCAAAATGCGCACCCTCACTCACTTGCGCACCCAGAAGCAAAATGCCACTCACTTGCGCACCCTGATCATCTCTCTTTCATGATCAGTTACCGGTGGGGTGGGGTGGGGTGGGGTAATAACGTTCATGTTCCTGTGCGCACACAGGCACAGCAACCTCATCATCTCTATTGCTGTCCTGCAGACACTGCTCTTTAATGATCAGTTACCGGTGGGTTGGGGTGGGGTGGGGTGGGTAATAACGTTCATGTTCCTGTGCACACACAGGCACACAACCTTTTCATTTTTTTTGCTGTCCTGCAAACACATGATCACTTACCGGTGGGGTGGGGTGGGGCGGGGCAGGGCGGGGGTATTATTCCCAATATGTCGAAAAATAAAAAATTTCCAAACCACCAACCAGACATGTTTTGTTGGTTGGTTACAGTATATATATATATATATATATGTGAACAAATGAATCCTTGTTCTGGATGTAGTTATCAATTGCGGTACCTGTTATGCTAGTATTGCCGGACACTGATGAGGCATGGCAAGCGCAGCTCGGGCCCTTTTCCTCGCACACGGACTTGAGCCAGTACGGCGTCCAGATGTACAATTAAGCATGTACATCACAAGTGTCCTAGTGTTCAGTTCCCTTTGACACCCCCCATGCCCGTGGTATTCTTCGAACCACGGACACGAGAGAGGGAACTTTGAATTAGATTGTTTCTGCTACTTGAATTACGCCTATGTACATAAAACGTGCCATTCGGCTCCCCCTTTCCCACATACCCGTCGGGAATAATGGTTCAGGGTTCGCCTACTCTCTGGCTGTCGATGCTTCGGCGCTTTATCAAACTGTACAACGCGAATTATTGCCAGCTAACATCTACTTTTCTACGTTGGCTAGGCATACCACTCACCCGTCGGGAGAAATGGATCGCTTCGCTACTAAAGATTTACAATGCTAACTAACGAATTCACGTGCACAGTGCAGAGTTCATGCAGATTGGGAATATCAAAAATCTTGAACCTAAGCGAATTATTCTACTGCCTCGCTCAGAGTCCACTCAGTTGATCCTTTCCTGATCATCTGTTCATAAAGACGATACACATCTCATATTCCAGTGATCATCTTGACGGATCGAAGTAATTGGTTTACTGCTCACGGCGGACTTTCTTCCATTGAGGTGCTGTTGGATTTCTCTCCCATCCTGCCGCACGTTTCGGAGCAGCTTTCGGCGATGAAGGCTTTGCAGGCGGTGCCTTTGATGGTTCATGGGATTTCGGCATAGCCTTGCCCTTTGGTGCACTAGCCGATGAGGATGATGCTGAACCAGTGCCTTCAGGTGTCTGTGAAGGTTGCGCAGTTGGTTTAGCAAACTTGGAAGCTGCAGTATGTCCAACCGCTTTGAATACTTCACTCACCACTTCGTCGCCAAGGGTTGGAGCCATCTTCGTTTTCATCTCGGTCTTTCCCCTCTGCGCCTCGGCCTCGGCCAGCTGAATAGCATAAGCCATCTTGCTGACAAAGTTTTGAGGTAGAGGAATGCCACACTGTTGGGCTGCAAAGAGCAGTTCTACTCTCTGTTCTTTCTCCCTCAGGCTCAGATATACCGAGAAAGCTGGGAGTTCGATGCAGTTGGGGAAGCCGTGGCTCCCGGAGCGAAAGAAGGTGTATGACTCGTGCTCCGGAAAGGTTCCTTTGAGCAGTCGTCGAAGGAAATTGCTGATGGTTACTCGCATCTCCTGTTTCCCTTGGGCATCAGCCTGCATTCGGTTCATTGGCATGAGAAAGCCTAATGACTCAGGAGTGTACCCAGCGCGTACCAGAAATTCCATCATCTTCTCATAGATCTCTAAAGTCTTGATGACAGGCATCATCATGTTTCTTGGTCGCCCTGAGTATAACTTCTCTCCTTCTGACCATGAATTCCTCTTCCCTTTCTGCTGAAAGAGTTCATCCAATTCCAGCTCCGTCGGTCGCTTGAGGTTGCCATCCTGGTCTTCTCCTGTATAAGGACAGAAGTCGTCCAGGTCCAGCCGGACTCGCTTGGTTTCCGTCATCATCTCATAGTACTCCTCTGGGGTCAGAGTGACTCTCTGTTTGTAGTAGAGCCTGAACATTGTGATGACCTTTGACATGACAGCATTGTCATACAAGTGAGCCGCGGCCTCGGAGACATCATTGTTGATAAGTCCGTCTTCTGGCATACCCTTGCTGCCGCTCTCGAGGTTCTTGGTCCATGCTGGAAGTTTGGAAGAGGATTCATCTTCAGGTTCGACTTCCATTTCATCTTCGTCTTCTTCAACGATTTCGTCGTCTTCCTGTTGGGCTTCCTCCTCCTGATCCATTTCTTCATCATCGCCTTCGTTGTATTCGACCTCGTCGGGATTGAAGCCATAGTCGTTGGATTCGGATACGTTTTCTTGTGCTTGATGGACCGTATCCTTGAACAACGATTCTTCTTGTCGACGAACTTCTTCGTCGATCTCTTTCTTCGTGGCCTCGTCTTCATCGTCTTCAGGAGCTTGTAACCGATAGGGACGGATTCCACAACTTTCCAGTTCCGTCCAGCAAACTAGACACACTGCTAGTTTTGTCGGCGTCTCATTGAGACAGTGAGGACAATGGCGGCAACCTGATGTTTGCACCCTTTTGCGTTCGACTATGTAGTCAATCAGCTTGATGCGGGCCAGGTATTGTTCTTGTCCGCCAGGCTTGATGAGGTCGTTCTTGAATTGGTTGACGATGTTCATGGCATCCATGGCGGTTTCGTCAAACGGTTGATCTTCGGCGTCGATGCATTGACTTGCAACCCTCAAGATGGACTCCTTGGTGGCTACCGTTCTTGATTTGACAGTTCCAGACCGGACTACCTGGTCGTCGCCCGACGGGACGAACAACCGGAGCCATGTCTTATTGTTTTGGTCCTTTGGGTCCTGAATCCATCCTCCTTTGATTGCCGAGAACGGGATGATCTTTGGTGAGACGATCTGTCCCGAGTCAGTCAGTCGACCGCCGTATTCCACCATCAAGGTCTCGGTCGGGATGAACAAGCAAATGTAGTCCCCCTTTCGCGTATCAACGCTCTTCGTGATAGTCCATGATCTGTGATCCCATGGCACATACGGGTTGAAGAACGTGAACATCCGATGACCTTCTCCAAGACCTCCTGGAATTAATCCCTGCCTCCAAATGCTTCGAAGGTTGGTCTTCTTGGTGATGTGGAAACAAACCGGTAACGACAAAATGGTGTTGGGCGCGATTGGATGTGAAAGTAATGAGGACAGCAATGAGACGTCGTCCCTTGAAGATCCTTCCTTGTGCCCCGTAGGAGCACGGACCGCCACAGGGTAGAGCAGTAGACCTTCATCAGGAATGTTCGTGTTCGCATCGACTTTGTTGTCAATGCACGTCAGGCTGGTGCGCTCGATGTCCTTGTTGATACCAAATGCCAAGACTTGTTCACGAACACGACGTCCATACCGGGCACAGTGGAACATGATCTTGAAGAGCAACGTCATGCGGTAGTTTGCCTCATCGACATTCCATGCACTCTGATCATTTGCTCTTCCTTTTGGAGCAAGGAATACATGTGGCCAGCGTGCGTACTCATGCCTCCAGATAGACTCGCATTTGAGCACCTCCTCTATGGGCACCCAGCCGGCGTCATCACATGACAGACTCTGTTGTTCTGATACCTTCCCCACGTTGTGCCGCAGGATCCTGTTTAGTGATGTACTCACCTTGTCCTCGTAGGTATTGAGCCGGTTGCCAGTCTCGAATCGGTAGTTGGCCGCATATTCTACACCGCCAAAGTAAGAGCAGTTGAAGAAATGGGCCCCCGTGGTCGGGATGATTTTCAAGAAACCATCTTGCGGCGCCTCGACTCTCTTGTAGAAGGGCTTCCTGATGTTGTTATCAGAGTAGCTTGCCATAAAGTCTGGCACTGACCAAGAGTCACCTCCTCCTCTGACAATAGCGTCTCTGACCACTTCGTTGAGGTCAACAATGTTCTGTGGTCCTAGCTTTGTAACATCACGTCCTTCTATGCAGAATCTGCCATACTCATCGAGGTCACCAACTTCAGACATAGTTCTGATGCTGTCGTACCATTGGTGTTCACCAAACCTCGATTTTGTGGGTTCATCCGTTTGCCCCGACCCATCAGTAGCACCTGAACCGTCCTTCTTGTGCTCAGGAGGCTCCATATCGACGTCATCAGATGTTGGACTATCAGCCTCGAGCGACGCTCGGACGGCCTTTAGCACTTTTCTGACTTCATCTCTCTTCTCATGTTCACATTCAAGATGGCCATGTTGGGTGCTACCACAATACAAGCACACGTTGACATCCTCAGAGACGGTGAAGAGTTTTCCCAACGCATCCAAAAGTTGTTGTTTCCCGGAATTCTCTGAGTCCCTGACCACATCGGTGGGGTCGTTCGCTGGCTCATCAGCTTCCTCCTCCCCAGGGTGAGCCGACGACTCGTCACCTGGCTTGGCATCGGCATCAGTGCCCATGCTGGCGTCACCCCCTGTGATGTTGTTCTTCCTGCGATAATGAGAGAATACCTGATCCTTCTCCCAGTCCGTGAGGCAGCAGAAATTGGCCAGCGAATCATATCCGGGGATTGCGTGGATGAGCT